AGCAGCGCTGCTCTAGCAGGAGGTATCTGCTCAGCCGCAGCACCTCGCGCCGAGGGGAGTGTCTGAGGCTTAACTAGAGCAAATGGGCTTTAGGTTTATTTAATCAGGAGAGCATGTGACAGCAGATTCATCAGCCGCGCTTCAAGATTTGTTTTGGTAACTGCATGAAAGAAAAGGTTTGTGAGGTTTTATAATACAACGTTCGGATTTTCTAAACGATTACATTTCAGCAAGTACACTGAGGATTGTAAGTGAAATGAATTCCCTTCAGCAGTGCTCCCTGCTCAAACCTTTGTGAGGTTTGAGAGTGTGGTCAGTATTAATGTGAAAGAATGTCATGGCTGCACACAGTTCCAGCAAACTGCTTGCAGGTCGCTTGCAAGCATGAAAGCGTTTCCTGAAAAGACTCTTAGACCACATTGAATGTGAAATGCTCAAGGATTACTCATTGAGTTTCCCTGTTGGCAAACGAACAGTTTGCACTGAGTGATTAAATGTGATTAAATGTGATTCTCTCAGCTTTAATTATAAACCAGTTCAGGTTTTAACTCCCCAAGTTCACGATCCTGTAGAGATGTGTGCAGCTGCTTGAGCTGATTCGACAGCATTTGTGCTTAAACACACAGTGGTTTCGTCCTGACAGAGGGCAGGGTTAGATGAGATACTGAGAAGAAATTGTTCCCTGTGAGAGTAGTGAGGCCCTGGCACAGGTTGCCCAGAGAAGCTGTAGCTTCCCCATCCCTGGAAGTGTCCAAGGCCAGGGTGGACAGGGCTTGGAGCAACCTGGGCTAGTGGAAGGTGTCCCTGCCCTTTGCAGGAGGTGCAATGGGTTATCTCTAAGGTCTCTTTCAACCCAAACTGTTCTATGATTCTGTGTCCACACTAGCATTACCACCTGTGTGTTTTTTGGTTTTCAAACACTTGCAGATCAACAAGCCTGAGAAGCTGGACAGGCCTGAGAGCTGTGACAATGTCAAGGTGGTGGTTCGGTGCCGGCCCCTCAACGACCGCGAGAAAGCCACAGGCTACAAAATGGCTGTGAACGTGGATGAGATGAGAGGGACCATAACTGTGCATAAAACAGACTCCTCCAACGAGCCTCCCAAGACATTTACATTTGACACAGTGTTTGGACCAGAGAGTAAACAGCTGGATGTCTATAATTTAACTGCAAGACCTATCATTGACTCTGTCCTAGAGGGATACAATGGTAAGTCCTGTGTTTTAAGTGAAGGATCCCAACCCATCTCCTATTCTTTGCCTTGTTGGAGTTCCAGCTGATCTTGTTTAAGGGAGTTTCACCTTCTGAGGGCTGTGGCCCTGTGTTGTCTCTGTTGTGGCTGTGAACTTAAAATAGCCTGGAGGTACTTGCTGTTCTGAGTGCTCAGTGGTTGTACCCACTGTGATCATTAACACTGGGAGACTGGTGATGAACAAGATTCAGCTGAGGTCAGTTAGCTCTGTGTTTTTATCCTGTATCTTCTCTTTGCAAAAATCTGCGCTTTATCTTATTGTCAGAGTTCTCAGTGGCTCTTCCCTGTCCAGTGCCAGCACCCAGGCAGCTGCCACAGCTCTGCAGCACTAGGTATGCACACAGACCTCTGCAGAGAACTGCTGCACTCTTAACTCTGAACTTGGCTGTTTTGAACTAAGATGACTACTTAAACACATCTAGCCTACCTCACAGACAGTCCATTGCTTCCTGCAGCTGGGAAGAGTATGGCCATGATTTGTGTGTGTGTCTGTTATGCATGGAAATGTATTAGATAAAGGAAAGCAGATCACTGCCTTCTCTAAGTGTGCTACAAACAACAGCAGTTTACAAAATTTTTCAGCGTTTGTAAAATGCCTCATAAACTCTTGTGCTAACACACATGGGTTTCAGCTGATTAAAATTTGGGGTTCAAAAATGAATGGTTCAGAGCTGTGCTGGTGGAGGTTTAGACTGGACATTGGGAAGCATTTCTTTACTGAGACACTGGAACAGGCTTCCTAGAGAGGTGGTCAATGCCCCAAACCTGTCAGTGTTTAAGACATTTCGACAATGCCCTTAACAACAAGCTTAAGTTTTGGTCAGCCCTGAATTGGTTGGGCAGTTGGACTAGGGGATCATTGTAGGTCCCTTCCACCCAAAATATTCTTTTCAGTTTTCCAGTCTGTAATGGCTTGACAATGAAAGCTTGAGTTTTCAGCAGTGCTAGGCTAAAACTAAGAACTGTTATATTTCTGGAGTTCCAGAGTCAGGGGGCTCAGTGACATTTCTGGATGCCTTTCTGTGAAGGCTGATTCTCTAGTCCAAACTGTAGCTGCATCTGCAGGTTCAGTGCTGGAGAACCCTCACACCCTTTCTGCTGTGGCTTAGAGCAATAGTTGGGTTTGCAGTTGGTGCATAATCATCTTCTGCTAATTGACCACATTATTAATTGGGCTTGCCTGCATTCTTTGTATGTGGAACCTAAGTGTACTAGTACTCCAGACTTTAATCACTCTGCACAATTAAAACCAGCTGACTTTTTATTAGGCATCTTGCAGGCTGGATTGAACAGTGGCTCAGCCCCGTTTGCTGTGTGTGCCCAGCATTTCTGTTGCCCCAGCCTTGTACAGTAGCTACTGGAGCGGGTGGAAGACTTCAGCTCCATAACAGTAGAGGTGTTTAGTGCTATCAGGCTAAGAAGGGTTGAGATAAAACTGCAGTTACCAATTTCTTAGAGTTTGCTCATTTATCTTGTCCCCCAGGTACTATTTTTGCATATGGGCAGACTGGAACAGGCAAAACTTTCACCATGGAAGGGGTCCGAGCAGTTCCTGAGCTCAGAGGCATCATTCCCAATTCCTTTGCTCATATATTTGGTCACATTGCCAAGGCAGAGGGGGACACAAGGTAAACAGCTTCTCTTCACTGCTTCTGTCTTTTCTCTGTGTGTCCATGTGTAGCAGGAGCCTGACCTTGACAATGATAACTGAAATGGTACCTCTGGCCCGAGCTGAAAGGCTCCTACTGAGGCAGTTCTTGAGGGGGCAGCAAGATTGTGTTGATATTTCACTGCATTTTCACTCTGTGATTGTGTTTGTTGGACATGAGCAAATTCTCACTAAACAAACTGTTCGTGTTCAGGTTCTTGGTTCGTGTCTCTTACCTGGAGATTTACAATGAGGAAGTGCGGGACCTGCTGGGAAAGGACCAGACACAGAGGTTAGAGGTGAGCCTGCTCTTCTCAAAGTGGTGTTTGCTTGGACTCAGAGAGCAGTATTCTGCTTTTGAGACCAGAGCAGCACTTGAAGGGAAGTGGGAGGTTGGGCTCCTCAGCAGTCCTCTTTCCTTGCAGACAGAGTAGCTGGCTATCACTCCTGGCTTCTCTGAATCCCTTCCACCTGGCCAGCTGCACAGTGAGAACCTGGCTGTTCCATCCAGTCACTTTTGTACCTGCAGTGCTACCCCACAGGCCCCTCAGCAGTTCTAGGAATTGGAGAGTGAGACTTGAAGTCATGTCTTGCCCCCAGGGGAAAACTGTGGAATGTTGTTATGCATGAGTGTTTATTCCTTATCTGCTCTGAGTGTTTTATGTGCAAACCAGAACCTGGAGGGGTGAATCACTGCACTGTTACAGTACCACTGAGAACTGCTGCTGGGGGTCTCTTAGGGATGCTCAGTCTGAACTGTTTCTCTCTTAGGTTAAAGAGAGACCTGATGTGGGAGTTTATATCAAAGACCTCTCAGCTTATGTCGTAAACAATGCAGATGATATGGACAGAATCATGACTCTGGGCCACAAGAACCGTACGTAGCCTTGCTGGGGGCAGGTTAAAGCTCAGGCAGAGCAAAGGGCTGCTTACAGAGCACAGGGAGAGACCCTGGTCCTGTTGCTGGGAAGGTGTTCAGCTGAGTAGAATAGAAAGGTTATCTTGTCCCAGAGCCCTTTTGTGTAGGGGTAGGTGAAGAAGGCTGTGCCTCCCACATTGGGCAGTGCCAGCAGGGGATCAGCAAAGGCAGGATGCAGTGAGGGCAGTCAGTGTTGTCAGAACTGCTACTGTATCTCTTGGTCCTTTTCCCTCTTCAGTTCTGATCAGGATAAGCATTAGCCCTGTGCTGTGAGTGGGAGGTGGTTTATGTGTTCTGCAAGACTTCTTTGTTAAGCTCAGATTATTTAATGACTTAAAGTTCTGACTACTTTTGCTCTTGGCGTGGATTCCTGTGCTCTTATTTTTGAAAATACAGCTGTTTTCAGGGATCAGCTGTGGACACCTGAGGCTACTGGTATTTGTAGCCTTAAAGAAACAGATGAGGATAACTGCTGCTCTTGGGAGCCTGTGGTTGGCTTAGAGCTGCAGCAGGCTGTAACACTTCTGCTAGTCCAGGTTGGATGTGTACTGCAACTTCAGTGCCCAGGAATACACTTTGCTGCTGAGTCTGAGCATCCCTCTGCCCTCTTCTGAAATACAGGGTGGGGTAAAGAGGTGGGGATGAGTTTCCTCTGAGAGCAGGAAGAGTTAGAGAAGCACATGATTAATTCCAAAGGCATCACTGCTCTTTCTCTGCGTGCACAGGCTCTGTTGGTGCCACAAACATGAACGAGCACAGCTCTCGCTCCCACGCCATCTTCACCATCACCATCGAGTGCAGCGAGAAGGGCGTGGATGGCAACATGCACGTGCGCATGGGCAAGCTGCACCTCGTGGATCTGGCTGTGAGTGTGCCCCGCAGGGGCTTGGGCAACACGGTTGGCTTGGGTTGGTGAGGTTTTTCCAGGGGACTGTGACCATGCAGTTCATCACTTGCAGGTTCCCTCCCTGTCTCACTTTGAACCAATGTAATTGTGCTGGTAAAACAAGCCTTTAGCCCAAAATTTACACTGAGGTACTTTTTCTTGGGGAAGATGCAGGAAAAGCAAGACTAAAGGCATTCAATGTCTGCATCTTAACTTATTTACATGATGTATGTATAGGATACTCTATGAAACTCTTCAAAATAATTGCAGTGTTGCTGCTCTCCCTTGATCTGCTGATAGGAAGAACTGTAGATGGTGGTTAGCAGCTCCAGCTAAGGTGCCTTTTAACTGCTGACTGACTGCCCGTAACATTTTTGTTCATGGGGACAAAATCTCCATTTTCTCCAGCTGCATTACTTTGAGCAATCCAGAATTTGCTGTCACTGAATGCTTGACTTGTCTCTCTGACAATGTCTGAGGTGCTCACCCAGGTTCTCTAATGATAGATGAGGTGGTTACTGACATGGCTGCTAGCAAGACTTCAGGTGTAGCTGATTCTGTTTGGAGGTAGGAGATGTATTAGGGGATTTGTTTTAACTCCTGCTTCCGGTTCCCTTTGCAGGGCTCTGAAAGACAGACAAAAACTGGGGCCACAGGGCAGCGACTGAAGGAAGCCACCAAGATCAACCTGTCCCTTTCCACCCTGGGGAATGTCATCTCTGCGCTGGTGGATGGCAAGAGCACCCACGTGCCGTACCGGAACTCCAAACTGACACGGCTCCTCCAGGACTCCCTGGGGGGCAACTCCAAAACCATGATGGTGAGCTGAGACAGCTTGGCATTTACCTCTATTTCTGAGCTGTTTGCAGCCTAGAGAGTCTTCTCTGTGCATCTCTTCCTTTTCCCGTGGCCTCTGTGCAGAGGTGTGTACATGCATGTGTAAGATTGAACAGAAGCTGTGCTTGGGTAGCCAAGAGCAGCTTCGGTGTAGAAGCAGCAGGAAAGCTTGGGAGAGAGCAGCAGTGTGAGACTCAGGGCTGGGGGGGTCCCTGCAGTGTTCTGGGCTCTGACATGTCCCCCAGTAACCCTGTCTCTGTCGCAGTGTGCAAACATCGGCCCGGCAGACTACAACTACGACGAGACCATCAGCACTCTCAGGTATGCAAACAGAGCCAAGAACATCAAGAACAAGGCCAGGATTAATGAGGATCCCAAGGATGCTATGCTCCGCCAGTTCCAAAAAGAAATCGAAGAGCTTAAGAAAAAACTGGAGGAAGGTGAGCCTGTCCTTCCCCCTGGGGTCCCCCTGTGCACCAGTGCTTGTTCTGTGCTGCTCCAACGTGTGTCACAGGCGGGTGGCCACTGGGCAGCTCGGTGTCCTGGTTGGTTTGTCGTGCTGGGTGCCCGGAGGGGTGTCTGAGGGTGCT